ACCTTTCCTGTAGACTCAGTTTAGATACTGGAGGACCACTATAAAGTCTTCCTGGAGCCTCCTCTTTTCCAGTCTGAGCAACCCCAACTCACTCGGCCTGTCTCCATAGGAAATGTGCTCCATCTCTGTGATCATCCTCATGGCCATCCGCTAAATCTGTCTGCTCCAGCAAGTCAGTGTCACATTGGGGGCTTCAGAGCTGAATGTGGTGCTGCACCAGGTGGCATTTCATGCACATTGCCTTTCTCCAGTTCCATCACTGTTGTTCATTCCAGCATCATCAGAAATAGACTTTTGTGTTCAGAGCAGTTAGTCTGCCATATATGTCTTGCCCATTTTAGAGCTGTTGATTCTTACGGTTGTCTGCTATGCTCTGCTTTTTAATGTCCCTGCTTTCTGTGGCTGAAGTTGAAAATAGAACAGCTTTCTTAAAGCAAACAATCATGAAAACATGAATGTACTAACAGAATGCTAATCAGATCACAAACTCCAAAGTCTTATGAAATGCTTGTTTAATCTCAGATCACTCCGTATCCCTCCATGTTATTACTTGTTAGCTATGTAATTCCACCTCTTCTTCTCTTCACATTCTCCTTATCTCATAAAATCCGTAAATGGGTTTCTTGACAAGTAGAATCAGGATTCTGTTGAGAGATGTTACGATATGATCCTTGCTTTATTTTTTGCACACCAGTGATGCTGTTCTGTAAGTGAAGTTGGGAGTTGCAGAAGCAGAGTGGGAGATAAGTTTAAGGAAACTTAATATTGCCCTGGGAAGTTAGATTTTGTATTTATTTCTCTTTACATCTTTTTTGATATGTAGCAAGTGACTTTACCTTACACTGCCAGTTGCCACCTGTATTGTGTTTCTCTCTTTTTAGAGGGTTTGGAGTCTGTTTACAGGAGAGAGAAACAAGCTTATCTGCAATTGAAATCTTTGAACAAAGCACTCAGGTCCTGCTGTGTTACAGAATTGTTTCTCAAGTCCTGAAATATGATACTTACATGTTCCACACGCACACAAAAGAGGAAATTAAAAATTCCATCTTTAGAAGACAATTTTGAATAGAGTAATTAATATGCAATTGAATTGCCTTTTTAGTATCAAGGTTAGTTAGTTTGAATAGCAGTTCATTAATTGTACTCCAGTTATCTTGAGTTAAAATGGAGTTCTGTATGTTTGTGTCATTTCCTAAACCTTTAAAAGAAAAGTACTGCACGTCTGTTACATCAGTAACACCTGATTCACCATTACATTCATTGCCAAATGTGGGAGAGGTGTTGGAGTAACCAGCAGCATCATAACTGCCAAGTTATGGAGGCTGGAATACAGGACACTTTCACAGACTGACAGCTGATGGAAGCATCAGGAGATACCAGATGGACTTAAGCTTCTGAGTCTTATTCCCAATCCTAGGGAGGACAGCACGGTGCTGGGCAGGACCAGTTTCTGTGTCTGTTTCTCCAAGCTTGATGTCTTTTGTCCTATTTTCATCCAGTGTGAGTTCCTCTTGTGCCCATTCTGGTCTCTGTTTTTTGGATAACCCTTCATCTCCAATCCTTTTGATGCCATCCAGGCTTCCATTCTTGCACTTGTCCCTCCACAGTACCTTTCTGGATCTTTGTCTTTTCTTTCTTTGCAACTGGAAGTTATTTCCTCTAACGTTTTACAATACCTTTATGTCCGGTTCTGCCTCATGCTTCTTGGATGAACTGGCTGTCTTTCTTCCACCCTCCACTTCTAAGGTGCTTGCTCATATGCTTTGGAAAGCTACTGTGCCATCTCCAAAAATCACAGCTCTTTGTTTCCCTTCTTTCCTATATCTTTCTTTGCAGCAACCTCATCTGAGGTGCAGCTCTCTCTTCCTTTTTGCACTTTCAATTAAAATTGAGCCTGTCTCTTTTTGCTCCAGTCTCCAAACTCAGTAGCTTTGTAGCTGGATCTGGAGGATCTGCACTTGTTTTTGTAGGGAGGGAGGAGGGTGTGCAGCCCAAGTCGACACTCTTCCATTTCTTTCAGGACACTTTATCTGTACTACAGTGATTTGGAGGAAGATGCTTGTTTTAACTGCCCTCTTTCTCTCCTTCCCTGCATACTACTAATTGTTCTACTTCAAATTGTTGGTGTTTTACTGAAGGGTTGGTAATTTCCCCATCCTCCTTTTCCACGTGTGTACTGAGCTTCTCATCAAAGAGATATGAGGCAAAATACTTTCTATCCAAGCATTTATACACAGGGCCATTAGCAAAGAAAGATTGGCAGAGAATTTGAAAACAGTTTATAAGGAGACATCCTCATCTCTGGCTTCTAGGCATTACTGATGTATGATTTCAACCCAATGTGAAGTTAATATTATATGCTGTATACATTGATGATTTATATCAGTATTCTTGTTTGGAAGTCTACATTGATTTCAGAATTTCAGTTTATGTGTGTGTATATTAATACATAGGTATTTATATACTGTACTTAACTGTGTACTGTAATATATGGTTAGCATGTCTTGGAAATGAGAGAAGTATTTCTCAGTAGAGAGATGAGATTTCTGCCATACTTTTTGCAGGTGATTTATCAGAGTTATTTATTGTGAATAACAAAGTCTTATTCTGTATACATTATTATTCTCAGATAAGACTTTGCCAGAATGTATGCATTGCTAGTTGGAATGAGCTGTGTTGGTGTGCTGCTGTTGGTATAAGTATTGAATGGTCTTATGAGTCAATGCAATTTCCCTGGAAGGTTGTGATGATTACTATTTCAGCCTTGTATATATTGGACATTGAGAGAGGTCATTGGGAAATTGAAATACAATTTTAATTCCGTTTTCTTCTTCTTTACACAGAAGGTGAAAGAGCTTTACCATCAATACCAAAGTGAGTTTAATACTTTCTTTTTACATATATGTAGTTCAAAAAATGCTTTCAAAAATGGTTTTGTTGAAGTGACACTTGACACTTTTTGTACATGCTTAATTTTTATTGTTGCCTTTGGATTCTAGGACAAATAGCAGGCAGGCACTTGGAACCATGGGGCGTAAATGACTGACAGCAGCATTATAGATACCACAAATGAAATTTGAGGGAAGAAAACTCATAGTGCATCAGTGATACTTGACAGTAACAAAAGTAGGATATTCTGGAAAAAGCTTGACTGGGATTCAGGCTATTTATTTTGAGTCCATGAGTAAACTTAATTACAGGAATGATGCCTAACAGTCTGTGTATTGTCACTTCAGCCTCTCTGTAGATCAGTCTGCAATGTTGGTTTTGCTATTTGCTTTACTGCTTACGCAAAAATACAGAAATTTTCTTCCTATAATAAATCTTTTATGTCTTTTTTTTTTTTTTTTTTTTTTTTTTTTTTTTCAAGTTATATTTCCATCGTGGGATCAGTCTGAGTTGGAATCTCCAGGTTCAAGTGTGATAAAGAGTAGCGTTCATAGAGCAAACAGTTCTTGATCTGTTTTATTTTTAAATATACTAATGTATCAAAATATATATACAGTAATGATTATAAATGTGTTGAAAATCTTAATCTATATCTGGCAAAGAGATCTGATTTCTTTTTCTCTGAGTGATTTAATGGTGGCACTTTACCCAAGGTATTTGCATCTAATAATTCTTTGTTTTCCTTGAGCCTTATCAAGCAGTATTCAGTAGCTAGAGATAATGATTGAAAGGACTGTAAGAAGTGTAGCAGTTTATTGTGTCTTCTTTGTTTTTCCTTCGGAGATCAGGAACTGTACTACTCTGAGCCAGCCACCTCATTCTGTTTCTTCCTTAACTCCTAGAGTGAGCCTGCCATTTTTGTTACTACTTCTTAATCTACTGAATGCAGTGTGGAACATGATTTATTCCTGATTCAGCAAGAAAAAAGCCACTTGGATACTCTTCCTTCACAGGTCCTGCTGCAGTCCTCAGTAGCCAGGTGGTAGATTGCTCACAGTGCAGAAAGAGATAAAAAAAAACAGGGAGGAAAAGCAAGTAGAAGCCCATGCAGGAAGCAGGAAGATTGGTAAACAGTGTGCACTCACATAGGAGATGAAAACTTTTATTTGAACGAACTGAGAAAAACAGAATGATCTAATTACAGAGTTTTCACTTTAGTGCTTTTTTTTTTTTTTTTTCCTGTCTCTAGGGATTTCTAGGATAAAGTAAGGTTTGAAGTAGAAACTTCTTCCCGTTTTTGGGACAGTTTACCAGTACTGGCATTGTAATGTTGAGTCTGTTTACAAGAGCACCACATACGCTCTTCAGCTGGCAGCAGGGGAATGGTCTTTTGTCAAGTGTAAAAGTACTAGCCAGCACCATCTGGAGAGATTTGCCTTTACAGATTTCTCAAAGCGTAAACTGCTGTACTCCTCATAACATTATAACTATGGTTATATATGCACATGTATGTGAAATAAGTTACTGGAAGAATTCATTGAAATTTGTTAGTAATCAATTTCTATAGCTGAAACTGTCTAATTGTAATTGTTTTTCTTCATTTATTTGATAGGCAAATGAATTTAAAATGGCTCTATAAAATAAATCAGCTTACAGACAAGAGCTCGATTCATAATTTCTGTTTCCAGTATTGAATACAGAAAGTTGGAAGGCCATCAGGCTGCCTACAGTGGCAATATTTAGACATGCACTGCTTAACTTTAAAACCTTTAAACAGTTTTGTTTCTCTTGCTTTTCTTAAAGTTTGTTCTGTTGTTGCCAAGTTGCTCTCTAATTAAAAGGTAACGCGTTCTCTCCACTCTCACTCCCCCAGCTGGGTTTGAAGTGGTAGATTCCTTTCTGACTTTTCTCCCCCTCAAAATGTGTCACTGTGGAAAATGGATTGGCCCTGCTAATTACAGTAGGTGCCCTGTTAGGATGAATTCACAGTGTATGTGACTGTGAAGAATGTACAGCATTCAGCGATTCAAACCTCTGTTTTACAGGCTGGCCAACAATGAGAAGCAAGGAGTAAGGTCGCACACAGTCTCTGTATCAGGTAAGGCTCTGAAAAAAATGCAAGTTTATTTTTACAGCTAGCAGATGTTTAGACAGATTTTTACTCACAGTTAGCTCACTTGTTGCCCCATGGCTGTTGATTTTCCCATGACCATAGCTGTGCTGACTTTGCAGTAGAATTCATAAAGAGGAACTTTTTCAGCTGTCCTTCTGTGCAGTGTTGCTTGTGAGAACAGCCACATCCATCTGGGGAAGCAGGGGTAAAATACTTGAAGGCAAGGCTGACTGTCAGTGTTTCCACTTAGGCCACTCGTCACCAAAACTATCCATCTTAAGTTACCTGAGGATGTGTTAAATTATGAAGGAGTAGCTTTGAAAAGTGAAAATAAGCCATTAAATATCTATCATCACCTCTGAAAGAAGAAACTCAATAGCAAATTTGTTGTAGCTGCTGCTTAGATCAAATCACTTAAATTTTTTGCTGTTGAAAACCACAAGATAATTGAAGGATGATGAGCATGTAATGTAGTAGGTGTTGTTTCTATATCTTACAGGCTTTTAAATTTCTGTTAGCAACTGTGGTTTTTTTTTTTTTTTTTTTTTTTTTTTTAAGTTTTCATCCTCCAGAGAACATTTTTATTTTAAAGGCTCTCAACAAATCCTTTTGAGGGATTGATTCAATGTCTCAGTAGGAAATGCATTGTTAAGTACTTATACATGCTATCTATAAAGGAGATTTGCAGTGTGGAAGTGTTATTAAGATTGTGGTACGTCCGTATAGATTTATAGTGTTTGGCCACAGACCTCAAGAAGCATTACTGTGACCCTGTGGAATGTCCATCCTTGACTTACAGGAAGGCTACAGCTTCACTGGAACGTTTTTGCGACCATTTAGTGGCACATACTCAGGAAATGGAGAAGGAGGAATGGTGCATAGATGTTTGATTCATTTCCTACTTTTCAGATTCCCATCCCCATGCTTAAGTTTTTTTTAAAGGTGTTTAAGATTCACCGCTGGGATGAGAAGTCCATATTTAGACCTTGTGCAAGAGCATTGGTGAGAGGATCTGGAATTAAAATGTCGATCAAGCTGCAGAGGTATGAAAGATCTTCATCAGTTAACATTACCTCTCAGAGCCAAACAGCAGCTGACCAAGCAAGGTTTGGGGCGCTGAGGGAGATGAGCAGGAAGCATGATAAGCGTGTTCTGTCTTTTCGTTCTTCTCTACTCTTCTGAAGTAGTGGTTTGATGTTAATATAGGGAAGTTAGCTGTGATACCACTTACCTCTGCTGTGTAGGGCATCCCATACAGGTGATCAATAGCCAAATGGGAGCTTTGCTGCAGAGCCAGGGCTAGAGGGTTAGCATCTAGCAAAATGCAGGAGGTGTACAGTCAAAGAAGCTGTGAAGTACAAAGCTGGCTCATAAAACCAGCATATGCCCTTGTCTTTCTTTCTAGTAACAAAATCAGAACCAATAATGCGTTCTTCTTTTGTAGTGAGGTTTTATAGCTTTCCACAGAGAAATCATTGTTCTTGTGTCCTGTACCACGTTTCAAACCATTGGAAACACTGACATAATACTGGAATGATTAAAACTACTGCATTTATTATTCAGTCTCAAGGGTTTGTTCTTAAGAAAGGCACAAAGAATACTGAAATTCTCTTTTTATTGTTTTTGTTTTGGTTCAGTTTTGCCCCCACATTACTTTGAAGTGTGCTGTGAATGTCAGGATATTGAATTGAAGTCATAAAGTTGAGTGATACCGATTTCTCCTTGGAAGTTTTGGCTTACCCTAAGGAATCAACTTGTTATGAATGAGGCAGTGCTTCATGTAGATGTGAAGAAGTCCCCTCCTGTCGTCACGTGTAACTGATCCATCATATGGAACAACAGAGGCAACAGATGTACATTATGTTCAGCTAACCCGAGAGTTACAGGTCAGCGGAGTCCGACAGCTGACAGCATCCAGTGCAAAGCCAGCTGTGGATGATGCTATCTTGGTTTGGAGAATAAGAGCTTTTCTCTGGTGACATTTAAATGCCTCAGAGCTAAGGACTTCAAATAAGACGATCTTTTGTAACTTTCTGACAGCTGTAATATCATTCGTGCCTTTGACAGTTTAAATCATAAATTAACTCAGCTCTTTGTTGCAGTGAGATTGCTGTTCTTTATTTAGATCTCTCCCAGTGCTAACACTAAATAGTAAAAAATCATAAACAAGTTATTCTCAGGAAAATCTAGCAGTCAGACGTATTTATAACATTTATCCCCTTACTACTGAAGGAAAATTTCAAAGTGAGCTCCCTACCACAACTTGGAACCAAGCAATAGCTGAATGCTGATGTGGAACATGATTGGTGGTCTAGAAGTACAAGTATTTGTCTGAAGTTTTATAGGGTTGAAAATGAGCTTATTAATGAAAGATGTCTTGTCTTGCTGTTTGAATTATGTACTAATCCACGTTGAAATGTTTCTGGTCTAGTGAAATGAAAACTTGTTCTTTCCAAGTCCTTCAGTATTCCAAGGCATACAGAAAACTAAAGTTTCTAATTTTTTTTATTTTTTTTAACTCTAGTTTTAAATAAAGACCTTTTCAAACTAGTGAAGGGTGAAGTTGGCTCCAGGAATCTCAAGCAGCAAATTGCTGAACTGGGAGCCAAGAAATGTTCCCTAAAGGCCGTGTGTCACTGAACCAGGTTGCACTGTGGCTTTCTCTGTTCTAGCATTCTTTGTCTTAGCTCTTTGTATTTAATACTTCTTACAACAGGGTGATACTTCTTACAACAGTGATCTTTTATTATGTGCAAGTAAGAAAGTTTTTAAACATAATGGGAATTTTGCACCTCAAATTTTACATTAATCTGTGTGTTTATATATAAATTAAAAGCCCAGTTAAATATGACAGTTAAATATTGCATTTTGGATTTCTTTGGCATATATGGTGTTTTTGTTAAAATTACTGAGTCATCAGAAGTGAGTAGTATTCTAGTTCATAGTTGGATGGCTCCACCTTGTATCTCCCTCTCCATCTACTTGTGTTTTTGCATTAGGAAAGCATTCTTACTGCTTGGCCAAGAGGGCACAATCAGGAGACAGTAAGGCTGAATTATTGGCTGTGTGCAAATAGTACATCTAATCTGTAGGAAAAAATGTGGCACTAAAATGTGATTTTATTGACTGCTCTAGTCTACAGAAACTTATTTTGGCCAGCAGTTAGTTTTGAAATAGCAACCATTAGCCTTAGTAAGGTGATGTGCATACTTCCTGATCTACATATTTCCAAAAATAACAATTTACCCCATCAATTACATGTTATAATAAGTGTATATATATAATTATATAATAAGAAAGCTACACAGTTGTTCACTCACTCCCAGCCTTCCCAGCGGGATGTGGCATAGAATACAAAAAAAACAAAGTAGAACTCATGGGTTCAGATGAAACTGTTTACTAAGATAGAGAAAAGGATAACAATTATGACAAATATATGTATTTAACAAGCGATGCACAAGCAGTTGCTCACCACCCCCCGGCCAATGTCCAGCTAGCCTTCCAAGCAGCAGAAGAGAGCAAGAGATGAACCCCCAGCCCCTTAAAAACTCCTTCCCCATGATGTCAGATAGTATGGAATACCCCTTTGGCCATTTAAGTCAGCTGTCCTAATTCTGTTTCCTCCCAGCTCCTTGGGTCCTTCTTTGGGAATGGCCTTAGCTCTGTGCAATACTGCTTAGCAGCAACTACAAACATTGGTGTGTTATCAACATTATTTTTCTTGTAGAACCAAAACATAGCATCATAACAGACACTCTGAAAAAAACAGTTCCATCCCACCTGACTTAAGCCATCTAAGCAACAGATTCTGTGCCAAATCCTTTATTGGGGAAATAGGTAACTGAAAGAGGAATTTGTTGTGTCCGGTTCCATAGTTGACATGGCTGTTCTTAGCACAAAGAGCATGTTAAAACTGAAGCTGAAAGGAGAAGCTGTAGGTTATACCATGGCTTAGGTCTAATAGTTGCACTGCTTATGCCCTGTGTAGGAGAAACTGAGTCTTCTGGAGGGAGCTTTATAGTAGAAATGTTAGGACTTTAGCATCCTGAAACAGATGTTTCTTTGCCAGCTTCCTGTTTCTACCTTAAAATCAGACTCCTGGTATAATGTCATTCCACTTAAATCACTTACCATGGTTAATTCCTGATTATGGCAGTGTCAGTGAAATGGCATAGAGAAGATAGCTCTCAGGGGCAGTTTATGAGATACTGAGTTTGAAGTAGCTGTCACCTTAGTCATTTCATTTGGCTGAGATTTAAATTTGAATTAAATATACTTTTTTGAAGGAAATAGGCATAGATGCAGGGTATGGTGCAGCTCATTCAGGAGGCAGACTTCAGTTGGTTACCAAGAGCAATATGAAACATAGCTAGAGCCAACTGTCAAAGCACAACAAGCAGCAGACAGAAAATCACCAAGTATATTCACTTGATTCCAGTATTACAGCAATTACGAATGTTCTTAATAAAGACAGTGTCAGTGTAGCAGGTGACCAGAAAGTCTGTTAACGATGAGGGCTAGTCACAAGGAATGCTGTGAGCAAGGATGGAAAGACAAATGGGATTTTGTTGAATCACTTCTACTTGCAAAGCACCGTGCGTGCTCTGTCTCATAATTCTGTACTAAAAGTGAAAGTCTGCACTGTGTTCATTTCTGAAAGAGTTTCTTGTTTAGGACTTACCATTTCTCGTTCCTTTTCAATAAGTTGGTAGAGTAAAAAGGTGTTTTTGCCCAAGGTTGTAGAGCAGGTATTTTTGGAAGCATGCTCAATTTATCAAGTCACTACAAAAAGACAGTGTTGAAAATTGTATGCAATTTATTATGATAAAAAACAGTTATCTTGACTGCTTACGACTTCTGTCTGTTCGCCCAATTATGTCACGTTTGACAGCTCGTTTTCCTGAAGACTGGCACTGTTAGCATAAATTGCGTCGTTACGCATTCTGATTATCAAGTAATTAGAGGAATATGAAGTCTGTACAGCTGTAGCTCAGCTGCGTGGTCAAAGAACTGGGAAGCATTTGAGTCAGGTTTGTTTTTTTTTTTTTTTGGCAGACTACCCTTACAAACCTTTAGCAAGTCATTTGTCTCCAAAGAGAAGCTACTTGCATAACTCACCCAGCTATTTTGATTGTTAATAGGATAATATGCTTTAAAATACCCTTAATGATGTTAAATTACGGTGTTAGGCTTCTCATCACAGTCGACTAGGCAGGTGTTATCTCTTTGCATTTTAAACTCACTAAAATGCTGCTTTTCATGCACCGTAAGACCAGAATGAACTGTGATGACTGGGAGCTCTCTGTCAGTGCCTGGGAATGTACTGCCTTGATTTCATCAATCTCCATCATAGTTTAAAGCTCTTCCCCCTCTTTCACTCCTCCTTTGCCATCCATTTTTTCTAATATAAGCAGACACTTCAGTAGTTTGACTGAGCGGATGTTCCATGCATTTTCACATTTGTTTGTTGTTTATGTATGTTTGCTTTGACAAATACATGAAAATAACTACGTTTATTCCTTCCACGGATTTTTTTCCCATGTTTTTTTCCCCAAGCTGGTTCAGGAATATATACTACAGTAGAAAGGGATGTTACCTTTTCCAGCTTTCCATTCTCTGCTCACACTGTCCAGATAAGGAGCTCCTCTACATCATAACGTCCCTTGTAAAATAGGAAGTGGAATGGACTTTTGGTATGCAGTAACTTCGAGTGCTTAGTACTTGGGAGAGGCACTGAACAAAATAAAAGCAGTTCTGTGAGTTTTGTTTTCAGCAGCATTTTTGAGCTTTGTGGGCATTTAGGTAGAAGCCAGCATATCAATGGCTGGAAGTCAGTGTGGAATGGTGTAAATCAAAGTAGAATCCATTTCAAGCAGGTGTTTTCTAGGCTCCTGACAAAGAATTGCACGTTCTTTTTTGAACTTAGAATTGACTCTATCAAGAGGAACAACTTGTGTAACTAACCTGAAGATGTGACAGTTTTAAGGCAGAGTGTTCCTCGTTTTATGTAGCAGAATGGTGGCACAAACTATAAACAAGGGGTCACAAACAACATTTGAAGTGCAGAAGACAAGTTGGTCTGAGTATCATCAGTCGTCAGGCTGTGCTGAACTAAAAGGCTGTTTGATTTTGATGGTTGCTTCTTAGGAAGAAGGTGGGTCAGGTTTCAGCCTGCTTCTGCTTCCCATGTGTCCAGACAAGAGTAGCAGCACTGCAGTATTTCAGGCTTGAATTAGAGTGGGCAGGTCAAGAGTTGAAGCGTCTCTTCCCTTTCAGATAGCTTGCATTGCTTCCAGTCACTTTATACCTGTTCTTCTGTTTCACTGCAGTGTATTGTATGCCTTTATTCTTATTTCAGTACTTTTTCAGATGTCTAAAAATAGCTGTAGGACTTCTTTCTGTTTGCACTGTGTTTAAGGCTTTGTTATGAATGTTACCTCAGCCTTGTATTAGAGCGTAGTGCCATGTGATATGAGGAAAATAGATCCCTGTGATTCCATTAATGTGTTAATTCACATAAATACTATAAACTCACTTGTAAGTTTGCCCTCTTTGCTTCTCCTTCAATGTTTAACATTGATTGATGTTCTGTCACTTTCAGTGGCACATAAATTTTCACAATTGATGAATCACACTGGCAGTTTTTAAAGTGATGTTTTGATACAATAATAAATCATACCCATATGTTTTACCTTTACTGTCTTAGCTAAGTAGGGATTCTACATGGTAGGAAGTTATCCATTAGATTCGCATGCATAAAATTCAGCGTGCTCCCTCCAGATTTAACACACTTAATGCAGCTCTCATCATCCCTCAAACTCTGGTCAGAAGAAAAAACGAAGAGTAGAAGGCAGTGCTTTTGCATGAATATAGCTCCTTTAGTACTTCATAGGTTTCCAGACTCCTCCGTCCTGCTGCTGGGGTGTTGGGCTAGCATGCTGCTCCTGCACAGCTTGGGCTCTCAATTCTTCCTGCAGCCTCTATTGGTCAAGGCAGCTGGGCTTCACTCCTCAATTTTGAAAGGGAGTATCAGCAGCCGGGTGGGAGTCTTTGGTTGACGCACATTTTGCATCATCTCTCTCATTTCCTGAGATAGAGGGGAGAGGGAAGAGAAAACAGAGAGGAGTGAACAGATGATGAGAAACAAGAGGAGCAGCTATACTCAGGTTCCTTGTATCATCCTGTTTCCTTCTTTCTCACCTTGTAAAGTTGGTCTTGGCTTTCTTGTGTTCTCTCCCGCTTAGAAATCTCTCTCTTCCTGCTAGGCACTTTGCTAATCAAATGCAGTGTTGTATTTCAGTGGATAGAGAAGCAGTACTTTTTCTTGTTCTGTGTAATTGTAATATGTGAAATAGTTGTTTCATATTAAGTTCTTTTCTCAGGGTCCAGAAAGTCAGTATTACATGTTTAAGTCTTCACTTAAGCGTTCTAGCATAGCACATTCTAGTCAAGCTTAGGTGGGCATCTTAAAAAAGTGGGGTTATGCTTCTGGGATGGACAGTACCTCTGCATTGTGAGTGGGTGGTGGAGGTAGTTGGCCAAGGCCAGCT